CTTCCTCCATAGAAACCTTTCCTTCCTCCATAAGAAACCTTTCCTTCCTCCATAGAAACCTTCCATTCCTCCATAGAAACCTTTCCTTCCTCCATGGAAACCTTCCCTTCCTCCATAAGAAACCTTTCCTTCCTCCATGAAAACCTTTCCTTTTTCCATAAGAAATCTTTCCTTCCTCCGTGGAAACCTTTCCTTCCTCCATGGAAACCTTCCCTTCCTCCATAAGAAACCTTTCCTTCCTCCACAGGCTGTAGGAATGTTCCTTTTGGGATAAACCTTTTCTTTCTCATAGACATCATTCCTTTCTTCATAGCCTTTAGGAATGTTCCTTTTAGGATAAAACTTTGCTTTCTCCATAGCATTTCAGACTGTTCTTTTTGTGATAAACCTTTTCTTTCCCCATACACACTTTTCCTTTCTCCATAGACTCCTCTCCTTCCTCCACAGGCTTTAGCAATGTACTTTTTGGATAAACATTAGGAATGATCTTTTGGGATAAACCTTTCCTTTCCCCACAGACACCTTTCCTTCCTCCATAAGCTTTAGGAATGTTCTTTTGGGATCAACCTTTCTTTCCTCCATAGAAACCTTTCCTTCCTCCATAATCTTTAGGAATGTTCCTTTTGGGATAAATTTTTCCTTTCTCCATGACATTTCAGGATGTTCTTTTTGGGATAAACCTTTTATTTCCCCATAGACATCTTTTCTTTCTCCATAGGCTTTAGGAATGTTCCTTTGGGGATAAACTGGTGATTTCCCCATAGACACCTTTCCTTTCTCCATAGCATTTCAGAATGCTCTTTTTGAGATAAACCTTTCCTTTCTCCACAGAAACCTTTCCTTTCTCCATAGCACTTGAGAATGCTCCTTTTGGGATCAACCTTTCCTTCCTCCATAAGATTTAGGAATGTTCCTTTTGGGATCAACCTTTCCTTTCACCCTAGTTACCTTTCCTTTCCCTACAAGGTTCAGGAATGTTCACTTTGGGACCCCCTGTAGCCATTGGGCAGTGTTTTATTCCACCCTGATTTTGTATTTCACCTTGCTTTCCACTGCCTCTTGATAGAAGCACCCAAGGGTTGTTGGTGGGAAGTTTAAGGGGTTCTTTTCTGAGAAATTTGAGTGGGATCTTTCCACCATCTGCTCTCTGCTCTGGTTCTGAAGGAAAAAAAACACCAATATTAGTTCAGTCAACATGTGTATGTAGGCTTCTTTTAAATTTAATTCTTTGTCATTTGAGATCAGTGGATTTAAAGAGGTGTCAGTGCCCTAAGAACTCGTAATATGGCCACAAGCTCCTATTTGATCTGGCAGGAGCAATTAAAAGTTCTATTCAAATCTAATTTTTAATTGTCTTTGTGTCTACCAAATGTTCTTGTGACAGCAATGTGAAAAGGAAAAAAAACAAAAAGAAGACTGGAAGCTGGATAACTCCTGCTCGTTTTTCAATTTGCAACAATTATTCAGTTATTATTATGATTATACGGCAACTCTAAACAAGAATTAAGCTTCTTTTTAAAAGAGAAAATATTTCAACTCAGGTTTTACCTGAAAATCTGATTATTTTTTAAAGCAGAATGTGGTAGTAATGAAATGCAGCTTTAACACAGCAATCTTTGAGCTCTCTAATTCATTGGCAAAGTGAGACTCAAATAGTTAAATATTAGGAGCCAGCTTTAAAAGTTGAGGAGTTTTTTTAATCAGGTTAAGATTGTGTTTATTTGCATCCTAAGCCTTGATAAAAGCCTATATAAAATTCTATAAAAGCAGAGTTTTCTGTGTTTACCGGAGGCTGAAGTTCTCACATACTCATTTCTTTTGCCTTCTTGGGTGAACAAACCCCGTGCACCACAAGATTTGTTATAAAACTGTGAGAACTGGCAATCCCCAGTCAGGCTCTGAGCAGAGCAAAAACCTCGAGGTTAAAACCCCTGTTTCACTTCAGTTTAACATTTTAAAACCTGCATTTGTCACTTTGAACTTAATTACATTGATACTGTCAGCTCTTTGATCTGGGTGAGGAAGTGAGAGGAAAAAAAATCTATTTTAAAAAATGCAGAGAAAGGTGAAGACTACATAGAATTCCTTGTATCTGCATGGAAAAGAGCTTGGGAATTGTAGAATCTGGGATGGATCCTGGGATTCCTGTGTGGGATCCTCTTAGGTCATTATCTTTAATCCTCACCTCATGTTTCTACATTGGAACTCTCATTAGAAATAAGAGGCTGCAATTTTCTTTTTTTTTTTTTTTTTACCTGACAAGGAGAACTTCTTTTAAATGTTTCTAATATTAAGGATTTTAGTAAAAATTCCAACTCTTTTATCCATTGGTGTCAGGAGCTCTCTCCTCTTTAGCTTTCAGCGCTCTCTAATTTTTTATGTTAATTAGGAAATAACCTTTTGAAATGTGTGGTATATCCTATTTTTGTGTACTCCTGGCTCCCTAGGGGTCTGAACTGGCACTGTGACCTTGGGGTTTTTGCCTTTTAGACCCAATATTTTGAGATAAGTTACATAAAGTTGATTTTTTTGTTGTTGTTTTTGACAAGGGAAAAGAAAGTCAGCATCATCCCTGTTTAGTTTTTGAGATGCTGGTGGATTAGTGTAGTGGGGAGGAAATGTCCACATCAGCCTCTCCCCCATCAATCTGCCAAGTTTAAAGTCACTAAAACACAAAACAAACCCGCTCAGAGTGCCTGGATGGTCTTAGAATTTTTCAAAGTTAACACAGATGAAATCAAGGATGCCACTGGGGACCTGAAATTGAGCATTTAGCAGCTGACTAAATAAATAAATGCTTTGCTAATCCCAGTAGGTACTTGCCTCTAAACAGCATATTAGCTTGTCCATATTTGCTGGAAATAAACTCATAAATCACAGTTAACAGGAGCATATTTTGGATGTGCATATGAATGGTTTGTGTTACTCTGTGTGTGTTAAAAATCTGGTCATTTTAAGAGCACCATTTCTTGAGCAAAATGAGTATTGCTGCTTTCAAACCAGTGGGTTGGCAGTCTATGAGGGGCATGTCCATGAATATGAATTATTTAGCTGGGATCAGGGCTGGTGCTCCAAGGGAGGAGTTTTGGGTGCTGAGTGACCAAGAATGACACAATTCCTGGGATCCCCATGCCCTCAGCTCACTGGAAATGCCCAGGGAGTATCTTCCCTGTGGCACCTAAAGAAGACTGGCAGGATTTTCCAGTAGTGTTCAGCTTTAGTGTTTCTCTAAAAATACAGCCATGTTTTAAAGTTCTGTAGGAATGGTTTCATATCCATGGGTGGGGGCATCAGGCAAGAGCAGATTCCATGTGAGCTGGGGTTTTTTTAGAATTCACAGTAAGAGTAGTGGCTGTAACTCCTGTTAACCTGCCCAAAGGAAGGAAAGGATGAAGATTTCCTTCCCTTGACTCTCAGGACTGGCCTGAAAATGTGCAGGATTCCTGGTCTGAGAGAATCAGGATTTCTGGCCTGGGATGTACAGAATTTCTGGCCTCAGAGGTATAAGATTTAAGGTTTGAGATGTGCAGGATTCCTGGCCTGGGATGTACAGGATTTATGGCCTCAGAGATATGAGATTTAAGGTCTCAGAGGTGCAGAATTCCTGGGCAGAGAGGTGCAGGATTTAATGTCTGCAAGGTGCAGGGTTTAAGGCTTGAATTGTGCAGGATTTCTGTCTGAGAGGAGCAGGATTCTCGGCCCAAGATGTGCAGGATTCCTGGCCTGACATGCAGGATTTAAGGTTTGAGAGATGCAGGATCCCAACATGAGAGGTGCAGGATTCCTGGGCAGCGAGGTGCAGGATTTAAAGTCTGAGAGGTGCAGGATTCCCTGCATGAGAGGTGCAGGATTCCTGGGCAGAGAGATGCAGGATTTAAAGTCTGAGATGTGCAGGATTCCCTGCATGAGAGGTGCAGGATTCCTGGGCAGGGAGGTGCAGGATTTAAAGTCTGAGAGGTGCAGGATTCCTGGGCAGGGAGGTGCAGGTTTCCCATGGCACAGGGCACTGGAGCACCAGGTGCCACCCCTGCCATGAACCTGTGCCAGCAGCCACTCGGGATTGCCATCATCCCCCCATTCTGGACACGCTGCCAGTTGGCAGAAGGTGAAATTGCTGAGTGAAGTAATCAAAGATGTCTGACATTTAGAAGTGAAACGTGTTTGCACCTTATCATGTTTCTCCCCAACGGTGAGTCCCTCTGTTCTGGGAAGCCGTGGGCCAGCTGCCCGTGAAAATGGACACATGAGAGGCTCAGCAGCAGCAAATATCTTTTCTTTCCCTGGGGGGATGCCGCAGAAGTTTTGGTCACAAAGTGCCCATTTTTCCTCCCAGGGATCTGTAGGGTCATGGCTGAGTTTACTTTTCTTTTCCCCCTTGAGAATGGACTCAGGTATTTATAAGAAGTAGCATAAAACACAGCATCATTTTCAGGCAGAACAGAGCATCTTCCACCAGTGAAATAAATCTCAAAAACCTTAAATGGTGTGTGGGTGTCATTGCCCTTCTCACAGTTGAGGGGCTGGGAACACAAACCCTGTGAGGGACAACTGAGGGAGCTGGGGGTGTTTAGCCTGGAGAAAAGGAGACTCAGGGATAATCTTATCCTTCTCTACAGCTCCTGAAAGGTGGCTGTGCTCAGCTGGGGTTGGGCTCTTGCTCAGGCAGCACTGACAGAACCAGAGGACACAGTCTCAAGCTGCATCAAGGGAAATAGAGATTGAATATTAGGAAAAAGTTTTTTTACAGAAAGGGTGATAAAGTTCTGGAATGGCCTGCCTGAGGAGGTGGTGGAGTCCCCATCCCTGGGTGTGTTTAACAAAGCCTGGATGTGGCACTGGGTGCCACGGTTGAGTTGAGCTGTTGGGACTGGGTTGGACTTGATGATCTTGAAGGTCTCTTCCAACCTGGAGATTCTGTGAATTCTGTGAATTCTTTCTGTGATTCTGTGAATTCTGTGAGCTGCTCCCTTCCTGCTCTGAGGCACGCAGAAACTGGAAAACCCCCAGGCCCCACAGCTGCGTCTTTGTCACCCTCTCTGTCACCTCTCTGGGTCTCGGACCTGCCTCAGTGCCTGCTTTGGGTGGTCTGAAGGTCAGCCTGTGTCTCTTTCCCAGCCTGGAGCAGCACATGGTGATCCACACCGAGGAGAGGGAGTACAAGTGTGACCAGTGTCCCAAGGCTTTCAACTGGAAATCCAACCTGATTCGTCACCAAATGTCTCACGACAGTGGGAAACGGTTTGAATGTGAAAACTGTGTGAAGGTACAGTGAGGACACGATCAGCCTGGGGGACTCACCTGGAGGAGGGTGCTGGGAGCTGGGGGTGCAGGACACAGTGTCAATAGTGGGATTCACCTGGGAGAGGACACTGGGATTTGAGGAAGAGGGTGCAGGACAGTTTCCATGGGGGGATTCACCTGGAGAGGACAATGGGACCTGGGCAAGGGCTGCAGGGGATGGGTGGCCTGTGGTGGCCCAGAGCAGGGTGATACAGGGAGAGGTGACCCCACTGTCCCTGTCCCAGAGATGTCCTCATTGTCCTGGGCATCCCACTGGGGGTGTGGAGCTCAACCCTCTTACGACCTACTCCCCTTTGGTCACTCCCAGCTGGGTACTGGGGTGGTGGTGAGGGCTGTACTGGGCAGATGAGGGTGAGCAAAGGCCTGTCCAACCATGAGCACAACACACTCGAGGAGGTGCCACAGACCTGTCCAACCATGAACGCCACACACTTGAGGAGGTGCCACAGACCTGTCCAACCATGAGCACCACACACTCAGGACTCAGGGAGGTGCCACAGACCTGTCCAACAATGAGCACCACACACTCGAGGAGGTGCCACAGACCCATCAAACCACGGACACTCGAGGAGGTGCCACAGACCCATCAAACCATGGACACTTGAGGAGGTGCCACAGACCTGTCCAACCATGATCACTACACACCTGGGGAGGTGCCACAGACCTGTCCAACCATGATCACTACACACCTGGGGAGATGCCACAGACCTGTCCAGCCAGGAGCAGCCCACACTCAGGGAGCTGCCACAGCCTGGCAGAGCACAAACGGAGCTCTTTCATGACCTGTCCCTGCCTGTCCACCCCGCGCTCCTCAAGCCATGAGCAGCACTGAAGAAAAAACCCAAACAAAATAAGTTTTTCACACCTAGGCTCTTCTCCTCGTGCTTTTGCCCCACTCCTGAAGGCGTTTTCTCCCCGCAGGTGTTTACGGACCCCAGCAACCTCCAGCGGCACATCCGCTCGCAGCACGTGGGGGCGCGGGCCCACGCCTGCCCCGACTGCGGCAAGACCTTCGCCACCTCCTCGGGCCTCAAGCAGCACAAGCACATCCACAGCACTGTCAAACCTTTCATATGTAAGTTGTCACGGCCATCACCAGCCCGGCGCTGGCTGTAATTGCAGGGATCCTGCAGGGGCCCCCCAGCCCTCCCATCCCCGGCCGCTGTAATTTTATAGCTCAGAGCACAAGATGATTTTTTTTTCCTTCTTTTTTTTTTTTTTTTGCATGCTCCCTGTTTTTTCAGTAAACATTCGTGGCAGTTTTTGACTTTCTTGACAAGTTAAAAGCTGAGTCTCTCAGCGGTCACAGCGATGCCATTTTCTCATATCTTTTCTTTCTCTCGTCTTTTTTTGCCTTAATCGCTTTCGAATGTTCCTGTTGGTGACATAAATAAATAGCTGGCACAGCCTGATCGAAATGTTTTACAGGGGTGCCTCAAATCCTGGAGCCGTTGTAAAGAACTTGGAATAATCACAGAGATGAGAAGGTGTTTTTTAAAAAGAAAGCTTTTTCTTCTCTATTTACTGCATGTTTCATCTAGATAATGCTGGGAGCCAAATAAACAGCAGATGAACTGTGTCCTCAGTGCTCTCCTTGGTGGGATATTTCCAGAAGGGCATTTTCCCCGGAGAGCCACCCATCTCAGCCCTTGTCATTCCCAGGGCTGTATATTTTTTTAATTGACACAGCACCCATTGGGTTTGGATAACTGTGCAGGGAGGTGGATGGTGTCACAACAAAGCTCCAGGAACTTTAGGGATCACTTCCTGACACTTCAGAACACGTTGCTCAGGCATGGGCCCGGATCTGGGTTTGATTCCAGGCTTTGATGTTACAACAGGGAAGCCACTGAACCCACTCCTGCCTTTTTTCCCCTGTTGGAATAATCGAAACAGCATGCAGGAATATCCTGGGAGACTCATTTCATTAATGTCCCGAGATAATCAGTGTCCTGAGATAATCAGCTGGGTGCCAGCAGAGGAAGAAGAAACGCTCCTCTCGCTCACTTTGCTGCAATCTTTCACTGGGCACATGAAAGGGATAATTTGACTCCCAGGATTGCTGCAGGGAGATGAGGGATTTCTCCTCATAATCTCTTCACTCTCACCTCATCAGAATTAGGGAGCTGTCAGACCAAATCAGAGTGTGGAGCAACTGCAGAGGGATCCTGCCTGGTCAGATGTGTCAGGTTGTTTTGTCCATCAATGTGGAATCCATTAACAACTTCAAATCCACCTGGCAGGATTCACCAGAACGTTGGTTCTTCTTTTTCCCTGTTAAATGGAAGAAAAGTGTGTTTGTGTTTAATTTTTTTACAATATTATATTTGGCTTTCAAAAGACCCCAAACCTGTAACTTTATAACTGCAGAAATCAGGAGGGCAAGAGAGGCCGTTGCACATGGAATTACTAAATCATTGGATAACTGGAGATTTAACAGAATTCTTCCAGTTTTCCTTATTTTAGAAGGCTTATGGGAGTTCTCAGAGCTCTAGCACTTCTCTTTAGGGAATTTTGTACAGTATTTATATATCTAGCAAAAATTCTTGGGGGAAAAAATGGAAGAATCCTGGAATCATAGAATGGTTAGAGTTGGAAAAAATCCTCTGAGATCATCAAGTCCAACCCTTAACCCAGCACTGCTGTGCTCAGCACTAAACCATGTTCCTAAGTGCCACATCCACAGGTTTTTTGAGCAATTCCAGGCATGGTGATTACTGATTACCTCGGGAAAAAAAGCAGAGATTGCTGTATTTAAAAGACTATAATGGAAATAAAATTCAGTAGTGCTGAATTGTCATGGAAAATAAATTCAGTAGTGCTTCTTTTAAGAACTCTATTTGGATATTTTTTTAAGAAAACACTTTAAAATGGAGTAAAAAAGCCAAATAAATCTTTTCCTTGCAATTATAAGGTAGCTGAAATAATACTTACAACAGCCATAAAACTCTGTGTATGCACTAAGAGCAATTCAGGAGACCTGATCTGAGATTTTAAAGTTACTAGGATTGGCTCAATAATAATCCAAATAATCCAAAAATTAGGATTGGCTCAAACATCCAAACTCTTGTGATTACTTTCTTGTCCTGTTTGTGTTTCCCTGCAGCTCTGGGCTGTGTCAGGGCCCAACAATGAAATACTCTGGGGACAGACAGTGCATCCTAAATTTACAGTGCAGTCAGAAAGCAGAGCCTTCAGTGACACTCCTTTGGATTTTGGGGTGCTCATCTGAACTGAAATGTCAAATTCATTGACTTTTATCCATCTCTGCTTTGAATTTCAATTGGAATTTGTTATATTACTGTATTTTCAGAGCTGCTAATGAAATACTCTCCCATCAGTCATTCGATATTCAAGCACTGAAGGAAATCCTAAAGATTTAGGAGAAAATACAAGGGAAATCATGCTCACACGCACCTAGCAGTAAATCTGGGAGGAGGGAAGGAGCACTGAGCAGTCTCTGAGCTGCAGTCAGAACCTGGATTCATGTCCTTGCCTGTCCAACCCCAAACAATGTCCTTCCCCTGCTTTGTCTCAGTTTCCCTGCTCACAAAAGGGTGATAACAGCAGTTCCCCGGGGAAAGGAGTGTGTTAGCTCACCACCACATTTATTCCCATGTTGAAAGAGGCACCATAATAAAAAGTCACAGTGTTCTGATGTGTAGAAAAGTTTGGGGTGGGATTTCTGTCTAGCTTTGCCCTGTTTCTTCCACAGCAGCAAGTCTGGAGGTGAAAAGGGGGTCATAAAAATCCATGTTTTGAAAGCTTGGTATTTACAGGTTGTTAGAGAAAACGCTGATGTGGCTTCAGTCAGCGGGGCAGGGGTGTTGGGCTGATTTAATGGATTAAAAAAGAGATCCCAGTCCTGGCAGAAGCCAGGCCTGGCTGGCAGGGGATTTATAGAGCATCCCCCTGCAGGGGTTAGGTACCACTGAGGGCATTAAGGAAGGGCAGGTTTGATTAAACGAGGCAAAGTTCTTCTCCCTCCGGCCCTCAGTGCTTCCTGCCATGCTAGGACTAATGGGAAGCAGATGAGCTGGGATAAATAGATGTTATCATTAAAAATGAATGATTAGGGCAAAGATGTTCTGAGGGGAGTGGAGCATCTTCCCTCTGCATTTGGGCTGAGAGATTTCTTCAGCCTGGAGAAGGTTGTGTGGAGGTCTCACAGCACCTTCCAGGATCTGATGGGGTGACCGGGGAGGTGGAGAGGGACTTCAGAGTGACAGGACAAGGGGGAATGCATTCAAACTGAAAGAGGGGGAATTTAAATCGGATATACAGAAGAATTCTTCTCTGTGAGACTGGCAAGACCTTGGCACAGGCTGTCCAGAGAAGCTGTGGCTGTCTGTGGATCCCTGGTAGTCTCCAAGGCCAGGTTGGACAGGGCTTTGAGCAGCCTGGGACAGTGGAAGGGGGTGGGATGAGATGGGCTTTATGCCCTTCCCAACCAAACCATTCTGCGATTCCATGATAATCTTTCCTGAAAATTCCCCCAAACTTTGAGCAGAGGTAGCACACCCCCTCAGATTTCTGTGGATCGAGAGATTCTCCAGGACGAGCTTCATCCAGAGGGAAAGGCGGTGATGTTCCACTGCTCTCCCCTCTCCTGCCCTCGGGGAAGGGAGATCCCAGGGCAGCGGTGTGGGGGCGGGCTGGTGGATCCCAGGGCTGATCCCTGCTGTTTTCCTGTTAATTTCATATGGCTTTTGTTGTTGGTTCCTGTTGACGCTTTAGGTGAGGTCTGTCACAAATCCTACACGCAGTTCTCCAACCTGTGCCGCCACAAGCGGATGCACGCGGACTGCCGCACCCAGATCAAGTGCAAGGACTGCGGGCAGATGTTCAGCACTACCTCCTCCCTCAACAAGCACCGGCGCTTCTGCGAGGGCAAGAACCATTACAGCCCCACCGGCATCTTCGCCCCCGGCCTCCCCCTCACGCCCAGCTCCATGATGGACAAATCCAAGCCCTCTCCCAACCTCAACCATGCCAGCCTGGGCTTTAACGAGTATTTCCCGTCCCGCCCGCACCCCGGTGGGATCCCGTTCTCTCCAGCCCCTCCAGCCTTCCCCGCCCTCACCCCGGGATTCCCGGGGATTTTTCCGCCTTCTCTGTACCCCAGGCCCCCCTTGTTGCCACCCACGCAACTGCTCAAAAGTCCCCTCAACCACACTCCGGACGCGAAGCTCCCCAGCCCCCTCGGGAACCCGGCGTTGCCCCTGATCTCCGCAGTGAGCAACAGCAACCAGGCTCCTTCAGGGGAGGAGAAATGTGAAAGCAGCCTGGAAAACTCCTACCTGGAGAAGCTAAAAGCCAGGAACAGTGACATGTCCGATGGCAGTGACTTTGAGGATGTCAATACAACCACGGGCACGGATCTGGACACCACGACTGGCACCGGCTCTGACCTGGACAGTGACGCGGAGAGTGACAGGGACAAAACGAAAGACAAGAGCAAACAAATGGAGACCAAGCCAGATTTTGTCAGCAGCTCGGTGTCTGCCAGTTCCACCAACACCACGAGCGAGATCCCTCTCTTCTATTCTCAGCATTCCTTCTTTCCTCCCCCCGAGGAGCACCTGCTGCCCACCACGGGCGCTGCCAATGACTCTATTAAAGCTATCGCCTCCATCGCAGAGAAGTATTTTGGGCCTGGCTTTATGGGGATGCAGGAGAAAAAGATGGGTTCGCTCCCATATCATTCCATGTTCCCTTTCCAGTTCCTCCCCAATTTCCCTCACTCCCTCTACCCTTTCACGGAGCGGGCCCTCAATCACAACTTGCTGGTCAAGGCAGAACCAAAGTCACCCAGGGACCTCCACAAAGTCGGTGGCACCAGCTCGGAGTCCCCCTTCGATCTCACAACGAAGCCAAAAGAGATTAAGCCAATCCTGCCGCCCCCCAAGGTCCTCCCAGCCCCGTCCTCAGGGGAGGAGCAGCCACTGGATCTGAGCATTGGCAACCGCATCCGAGCCAGCCAGAACGGAGGGAGAGAGCCACGGAAAAACCACATTTATGGGGAGAGGAAGCTGATGGCAAGTGAGGTCTTACCTAAGATTTCCCAGTCCCAGCTGCCTCAGCAGCCTTCCCTGCACTACGCTAAGCCATCGCCCTTTTTCATGGACCCCATCTACAGGTATTAACATACCCTGCCTTAAGCCTTTTCCTAACCAGCTCCTTTTCCAGCTGACAGCACACCCTGAGGCAGGGGAGGTTGGTTGGGAAGAACAGTTGAGTATCTCCTGTTGTTGTCTGTACTTCTCCACACACTGAATTTCCTGAATGGAAAGGCCTGAGTAATTGCAAGGAGCCCTCATAATCAGTGTGTAAAGAACACATCCTTATTTTGATAAAGAAGAAACTTGACCTATTTAAGGACTCTCCCACGAGCCATCGCTAAGATGGCACTTCTGCTGGAGACATTCCAGAGGTTTGATTTGATAAGAATGCAGAGTTCAGATTGCCTTGGAGCCCTGGGCTCTCATGGCTTGGGAATGAGTCAGGAGCCCTGGGAGCCTGGAAATGCAGCTCTCCCACTGACTGACTCCAGGGCCTTTTGTGAGGCACTTCACCTTTCTTTCTCCCTCTCTCCCTTTTCCTTTCTAATGCCTTTTCTTGGGTTTTTTTCCATTCGGAGGAGCTGCTGGTGCAGACCCAACCTGCCGAAACATGTTACTCTTGGAGTAACAAGTACTGTGTAAACACATGGTAGCGTGTTACTACCCAGATCTCTCCCAGATACATTTCTCACAGATTTATCTTTCTTGGGAGATAACAAGGCCTTTCTGGTGTCACTTGAACAGATGGTCCTGAGGAGGGCCTGATGCGTTACGTCAGAATGAGCTGAACATGGAAGGCGTGTGTAGAGCAGGCTGGGTGAAGTTATCCAAATGTCAGCTAAACTTCCAGAAGGAATCAATTCAGGAGGAAGCAAAAAGGGAAGACTTTGGCCTCTTGTTGCTTGAGAGCTTTTTATAAAACCTGTTCCCAAAGGAAAACTATTATAACTTTGTGGTGAGGGTAACAGTAAATTTGTGTTACCCACCTGGGCATTGCCCTTGGGTAAGGTGGACATGGCACATTTGCTATTAGCAAAGCCCAGTGAAAAGATACGTCCTGAACTAGTTTGATTTAGAAATTAACACATCTAAATTAGCTATTACCAGGTCTAAATGCTCCACAGCATCCATCTGGATACATGTGCTTGTCCTGGAGCGCTCCTGGATTCAGTTCATGGAGGTGAATGTTCTGTCCTTGCATTCCTTGTGCCGAATGCCTGGTGGTCCTTGCTGTGCCCAGCCGGCTGGAAGGTTAATGTCTGTTCTCCTGCAGGATCTGCCATGTCCCTGGTGCTGGAAAGCCTCAGAGCCACCGTGGTGTGACGGTGGGATGGGTGCTCGGAGGGCTGCGAGCACCACGACAGCCCAGATGTCACCGCCGGCCGCTGTTGCAGGGCTGATAACTGTGGGAAAAAGTGATGTCAGTGTCTGGCCAGGCCAAGGAGCTGTCGGCTGGGATGAGGATTAGTGAGCCCTCACTGCTGGCTAAATGAGTGTCTCTGGCTCTGCCAGCTCACGGGGGTGATGTGCCCACACCGTGCCATCTGGGGTGGGGACACCTCCCAGCTCAAGAGGTGCCATGTCCTGCCTGACACCCACCGTGGCCATCTCCTCCTGGAGAAATCAGACATGGTGTGAACAGTGTTCGTAAAAAGTACTCCTGGGGGGAAAAAAAAAATCAATAAATGGGATAGAAAGGCAAAAGAATCCTTGTAGGGTCCTTCCACCTCTGGGCATTCTCAGCAGGAATGCTGAAATAACACGGCTTGGAAAAACTGCTGCCAATTAAAACAGCGGCCTCGGGAAAACCGTAAAGGCCCAGAAGACAGATGGAAGTGAAGGATGGGGGCATCGTTCGTTGCATTCCATGGGATGCACATAGTTTTAGTCATGTGTTAAAATAGAAAGTCAGCGGTGGCGTTGCTTGCGAATCAGACTTCTGATGTAATGAGCGAAACAGCCCAGCTTCCAAGTCCCAGCTTGAAAAATATGGAAATATTTTGTTTCTAAACTTCCCTTTATCAGACTCTCTCACATCATTTGGCTCCTTCATTTTTTTCTCCCAAAGGCCACTTAAATCCTTGACATTTTCTCCTGGTGATATAATTTAATGCGGCCAGACAGTCTGAAATGGGGGCAGTTTTTAGCTCAGCCCGTGGGGGTGATGTTCTCAGGCACTGGGCTGAAACGATCTTAATCCTCCAGGCACTGCGGAATTCGGCTCTGACGGGGACGCTGGGACCTTGTGTTTCCATTCCCGGTGCTGGGACATGGCAGAGCTGGGGAAATGCTGCCAATTCACCAGATTTTACGCACATGGAGCAGGCAGGGCTCTCCCCAGATGGCTCTGCTGGGATCAGGGATGTTCCTTTGGGCATTTCAGCAAATCTGGGCTGGTCAGAAGGGCTCAGGGAGCAACTCTTTACTTATTCTTTGGTTTTTCTGGCAACTCAGACCCATAAAAGCATGCACCTTCCAAAGCCCCCTAATTCTGACTGCATTTCCAATCCAGCTCTTCTCTTTCCCTCTACCCAAGAAAAATTAAATGCAGATTAAGCACAGTTCGCTGACTGCACTCGGCAGGGCTCTTCTTTAAACTCTTTGGTAATTTGATCCACACACCAATCAGCTGAAATGCAGCAAAAATAATTTGCTCTCAATTTATGCTAGACTAATGTAGTTGAAATCACTCTTACTCTTGGATTTCTGCTGGTTTAGCTGGATGGACTCAATTCCAACAGTTTAAAGATGCAGCTGTGTTTGTTGGAGTTACTTCCTTAACACTTTTTTTCCTTAGAGGACATCTCAGTTTGTCTTTTTGGTGATTCCACACCCCCGTTTCCCTACAAGTAGAATATTTTGTGGAAGCAAAGCCAATATTTTCAAAAATAGGAGCCTCACTTTAGGGTCATTTCTGCATCTCTAATGCTTAAGCATGAAATATTTGAGTGGGCCAAGGTGATATCAGAAGAACTCAGGTTTCTGAGCCACTTCAGAATTCTCCCACCAATCCCTCACTTTTTAAATCGTTGTCCACATGGGCTTGCCAGAGAAACTCAATGCAAATTATGTCTCAGCTGCGAGGGAGGAAACAAATATGAAACACCTAATGATTTCAGCACGCTTGGGGCTGCCGAGTCTGGCCCAGTGTTAACTCTTCAGATAAATGCAAACTCTCAAACTTTTTTTCCATGCAGAGGCTGCCTGCTGTGGACCCTGGAGCTTCTCCTGCTCAGACAGTTTTGCTCTAAATGCAAGGTTTTCCATGACCTTTCACAATAGCAGAGGTTTATAAACCACTGCAGCAGAGCAGGAGCAAAATGTTTTCTCAGTCATCAGCCTGAAAGCTAAAAATAATACTGCCCAAAGCAGGGGATTCGTGTTCATATTCTTTCCAGCACTTTTTGCGGGGCAATTGTGCATCAGAATCTGTAGTGTCCAGGAGAAGGGGGTGTAAGACGTTTGTGTGAGTAAGAGAATAACTTGTGTGTAAATTCAGCAGAGCGTGGCTGTGTGGGGCTCCCTGTGAGGTATGTAACCCTCTGTGTTGTTGTCCAGCAGGGTGGAGAAGCGGAAGGTGACAGACCCCGTGGGTGCCCTCAAGGAGAAGTACCTGCGACCCTCCCCGCTGCTTTTTCACCCCCAGGTAACAGCAGTGGCACTGCTGATGAAATGCTGGGATGGATCTGGTGCACACTGGGATCACTGGGATCACTGGGATCATTGGGATCAGGCTCCTTCTCATCCAAGGGCCTGACTGGAAACTCCACTGTTTTCCACTAGTTCCTTCCAGAACACATTTAATTCACAGGCTGAGGATGATGGCAGCTGTGCTTTGCTGTTTCCTTTGCATTACCAGAAAAACAGGGATGAGGTCTGGGCAGCTCATAGGCTCTGCCAAACTCCTCTTCCACAGCCCACAGTGCCTGGGTGGTTTTTCCTTTTGGAACACCTTGGGGGTGTCATTTGCAGTGGTACAAGGTGGAGAAGGACTGCCCAGCCCCAAGGCAGCAGCATTCCTGAATTTCCCACATCAGGAGGAGTGTGTGGAAGTGCCGGGCAGTGGGTTCAGCTGTGCGTGTGACAGTCCCCAGCTATCCCCATCCCTCCTGCGGCGCCCAGGCTGGGATCCCAGCTCCGTGCTCCTCATTGTGCTCTCCTTTATATTCACAAGCATTGTTCTGCCCTGATAATGTTTCCCACCTTAGATAAATAACTCGCAGGTTTGTGAAATCTGGGTCCTGGTTGCTTTCACAGCTAAACTTAGTTCCCGCATTGTTTCGCACCAGCCTCAGAGTTTGGTTAATAACTTCCCCCGATTTTTCCTTCATCCAGGCTGGATAATGGTGACAGGCTGGCCAGGAACATCCTGTGTTTGTGTGACTTAGAATAGTGGGGATATCTGCCTGTAAAGAATCTGATAGCAGGGAGGAGCCAGCGTGGCAAAGCAACCCAAGGAGACGATGAGAAACATTCAGACCCCAAGCAGGAGCAAGCTCTGGGTGGAAGGTTGTTGACATTGTTCCTGAAATCCTGACCACGTCCTCTTCCCATGGCAGTGAAAAGATCTGGAAGGTCTGGTTATCTCTAACAGCTTGTCACACAGAATAGCCTCAAATTCACAATCACTCCAGCCCAAAGCTTCCTGATAACTGATTTTTAATAATGATTTTTAATAAGGCGGGCGCTGGGTTCAGATCACTTGATCTGGAGAGGCGCCGTTCCCATGCTGCAGTCAGTCAGGTATTTCAGACACAGCAGAGGAACACGGGGCATTTGTTCCAGAAATGGGAGATTTGTACCACCAGATCCCCTTCCAGTATTATCACAGAATCTCCAGTATTATGGAATCACGGAATATCCTGAGCTGGATCATCCAGTCCAAACTGTGCCCTGCAGAGGACACCCCAAAAATCCCACCCTGTGTCTGACAGCCCTGGCAGCCTTGAGGCTGTGACCATTCCCTGAATCCAGCATTGCTAAGAATTCTGGATCCTGGATCTTCTCCTAAGAAATCACATTTTCAAGGTTCCTGCTTCTGCTTTCTTCATTAGGACCAACGTTCCTGTGCCTGGTCAGTCAGAGTCACGTTCTACCCAGGCTTTCCTCACTCCAAACACGAGTCTGGTCTCAGCCTTTTCCTCTGTGACTAATCCCCAGCTCTCTCAGAGTGCCCTCACCGGGATGTGCTGAAGCCAGAAGATGTGATAAAAGCATTCAGGAGATGTTTCTTCTCTCAAAATGAATTTCAGGCAGCTCTTATTTCTTAGCCAGTCACTGGCAGAAGTTCCTTTGCTCCTTGGGAGTTTTCATACATTGTCTATTCCAAATGAAACTCTGGACAACATAAATAACCAGTGTAACTTTTTGATAACTTAATGGAAAGCCTTTCCTCACCTGTTAAGTTTCTTTTCTTCCCCATTTCTGTTTTATTATAACCAGGCAGTTGTTCCCTAAATAGCAAAGTGCCTTTGCCACTGGAGAGGCCGTGGCCAGTGTTTAGAATTTTAAAACCAGCCTACGGCTCTCAAGCTAGCAAATATCTCTGACTAAGTGCCTAAAGAACAGGGCACAACAAAGGAGAGCTCCAGGTACCTGGGCGAAGGGCTGTGAGCTCGGCTCTGAAAGGTCCAGAGAGCTTTTTAACGTGATGGTTTTGTTGCATGACTGGCAGCTGGGGCAGAGCTGGTGCTGTAAATGATCAAGTAACCTTTTCAAGTGGCTGGTGCTAAGTATTACTTACTATTTATCATGGGCTGGGAGCCTCCAGCTAAGGGGCTGTGGATCTATTATAGGGAAATGGGGGTTACTACTCCTCTTTTTTTACAGCTTATGAATGCTTGTCAGCCCTCACAATGTCTTCAGGGGTGATTAAGACAACTTTTTTTTCATAGCCGTATATTTTCAAACAATATCTTGGCTCTCTTCCCCCTCTGCCCCCCCTCCCTTCTAAAGCCCAGTTTAATAAAGTGTAAACGTGCAAAAGGTCAGCCCTTCCTGTACAATCGAGCATCTCGGGGTGATGTATGGCTTCCTACAGCCTTCCGCTCCTCGCTGCCGCCCCGGCTGCCTCCGCAGCTCCCGCCTGTCCCGGTGATGTCAGCACAGCCAGGAGGCAGCTTTATTGCTGCCCTGTTTGTGTTATCCCTCTCCTCTGCCCCTGCTATCTCCGGAGCTCTCAGGAGTGCACGGAGCTGGACCCGGAGAAGTCGGCGTCATCCTCGGAGCGCCTTGCTCTCTTGGACTTGGGTTTCCTGTTGCACTGTAATGAAAGCAAAAGAGCTGTTCTTTACGCAGGACTTTTATGCAGGTCCATTTTTTCCCTTTTTTGCACATTGCTCAGCTTCATTCTTTCCTTTTCTGCTTCCCCCTTCTCCTGTATCTCCTTTTCTCCCTCTTTCTGGTGTGGTGTTTAATCTCATGTCTGTGAGAGCAAGTCCAAGTCATACAAACTAAATCTGATCAAGCATCCTGGGACATTCTCCTTGGTGTCTGAGCTCCAGGCCTTCATGCCAGCTGCTCCCACCCCAAAGGGATGTGTAGGTGTTGCCTCGCCTGATTGTAACTGACCCAGCCACTGCTCATATCCAGGGGTTTGGCTGGAGCTCCCTTTCACTCCAGGGAACTCAGCCATCTCCCACCCATCCTCCCATCACCTTTAGGAGCTGCTGAATTTTCCTACCCATAATTAAAGCATTGGCCTCTTCACCAAGCTCCCTGTGGGCCTACTCCATCCTGAACCTGATCCCAACTCCTCCTCTTCCCAGCTGCTCCCTCTTCACCCCTTTCACCTGTCCTGTCCTGTCCTGTCCTGTCCTGTCCTCTCCTCTCCTCTCCTCTCCTCTCCTGTCCTCTCCTCTCCTCTCCTCTCCTCTCCTCTCCTCTCCTCTCCTCTCCTCTCCTCTCCTCTCCTCTCCATCACACATCCTTCCAAGACCCCAGGATGTTTCAGGAGACCTCCCAGGACTTTGTTTTGGGCTTGGGTACTGAGTCCTACCTCAGGCATCTGACCATGTTAGTTTCTGTGTTTTCCCAGTAAAAATGGATGTCTCAGGTGTATTCTGAGATAATTTGTGATCCAAAGTGCTGAAAGCGAGCACATGCACACTGCAGAAAGTGATTGAGTGCTCATTTCTGGGACCTAAATGCCTGGCTTTGCCAGTTGTGCCTTTCCTGCTTTCTCCATGACCAATACACTACTCCAGTCTTTCCTGGCTGGATTCAGTGGCTCCATTTCCCACTGTGCCTCCAACTTCCAAGAGAGCCAACACCAGCAGGAGGCTTTGCCCGACAAAAACCGGTGTTTCGTGCGTCAGATCTTGCCCTTCCCAGGGATTTTTCTGAGGAGCTATCTCCTTGTCCTTGCAGATGTCGGCCATCGAGACGATGACGGAGAAACTGGAGAGCTTTGCAGCCATGAAGGCCGACTCTGGCTCTTCCCTGCAGCCCCTTCCCCACCACCCCTTCAACTTCCGATCGCCGCCGCCCACGCTCTCCGACCCCATCCTGCGCAAGGGCAAGGAGCGCTACACCTGCAGGTGAGCCGGGCGTCCCACAGCACCCACACTGAGCCCCAGGGCGTGGAAACATCCCGGGATGTGCAAATACCCCGGGATGTGCCACCCCAGCTGGGCAGCTGCACTGGGCACCAGGGCGGAGCGGAGCAGCCGCACACCGACATCTCCGCCAGGAGGGAAAACAAGGAGCGGTGGAATTAGAGCAGAGCAGGGATGACTAATTCCCTCGGAAATAGCTTGTTTTGTCTGGTAGGAAATCAGCATCTTCTGTTTGCTTTGTAATTGTTAATAACCCTGGGAGCAGATCTGGAGATTCTCAAGCAAACCCAACTCCCCGGGCCAAGTCTCTGGCGTGCGGTGGCGAACGCCGCCAATCCCAATGCCAGTCCCGGCTATATCCAACCTCAGCTATGGAAAAAGGATTGAATTTTAAAAAATGGCATGCAGGAAACAACTTTTTCAAACTGTTCTATCCACAGAACTCGTCACGTACCCATCCAGCTCCAAATTGGAGCAGATCAAGGGTGTTTAGTAATAAACCTCTGTCTGCTGTCGCAGTTTCTCCCCAAGGTTCTCTTGGTGGCTCCTGCTGAGGGGATTTTTTTTTTTGGGTGCAGAAAGTGGGTACAAACTTTAGCTGATGTGTCTCTTATGTTCAACTTTGACACAAGAGCTGCGGGCTCAGATTTCAGTTGAGTATTTGGAAATTTGAGGTTTCTACTTACAAAAGGGACTAAACTTAAATTTTAGATGCACACTCACAAGTTAACATTTGGATTTCCATTGCTGGGGAGCACTCACATTAACTGTTCATCTTCAGGACAGCTGAAGGTCTCTGAAATAAGGAAAGTCTCTCATGGCTTCCTCCTACAATAGGTTTCATAGTCACAGAGTGCAGCTCCTCCTCCTTAGGTTTTTATTTCCCAATTAGTGTTTTTATTTATACCTTTTTGATTTTACTGTGAACTGGATTTATAGTGGAACACAATTCCTTCCTTTATTAATTTCCTACGGCTGCATTTCCTTGCTCTAAGCAGCTGTCAGCCTCCTAACCCACAGCACGGTGCTGCAGCCTTTATCCAGAGAAAATTCTGCGAATTCCAAGGATGAAAGAGCAGATTCCGTTTGATGAGCACATCAACAGGGCTATAAAGGAGATGCAGAAACATCTCAAGTGCCAATCTGCCCAGGCAGTGATTAAACCCTCTGTACCCTGATGCAGGAATGCCGTGGTTAAACCCTGCCTTCAAGTGCCATGTCCACACTTCCTTTGAACACTTCCAGGGATAGTGACTCCAGCCCCTCCCTGGGTATCCCATTCCAAAGTCTGGCAAGCCTTTCTGTGAAAAAAATTCCCCAGTATCCAATCTAAACCTCCTCTGGTGCAACTTGAGGCTGTTTCCTATTGTCCTGTCCCTCATTCCGTGGGAGCAGAGCCCGACCCCACCTGGCTGCACCTTTCTCTTAGGGAGTTGTAGGAGTGAGAAGGTTCTTCCTGAGCTTCCTTTTCTCCAGGCTGAGCCCTCCCAGCTCCCTCAGCTGCTCCTGCCTCTCCGTAGCCCTGTGACCCTGGGGTGGGAGATTTGTCCTCCTCAGATGTGAGCACATGAAGGGATTTTGGGAGCAGTGTCAGAATGAGGGGTGCACGTGGTGCTGTGGCATCTTTCATGGTTCCATTTCCCCAAAGTACCCAGTCTTATTTGCAAGGCCATCCTTCCAAACTTGTTTCTGGTTCTATTTCTCTCTCAGCAATGTCTGTCCTATCCCAGGGCATTTCTCAATCAGCATTTCTTATCTCAAGGTTTGCACACAGATGTGTGAGCCTTCTGCCAGGCTTGGAGAATTCCCTTCCAATCCATTTCCCACAGCATCCCTGGGCTCTCCTGATGGATTCCTTTGGTTCTCCTGATGGTTTCCTCTGGTTCTCCTGATGGTTTCCTTTGGTTCTCCTGATGGTTTCCTTTGGTTCTCCTGATGGATTCCTTTGGTTCTCCTGATGGTTTCCTTTGGTTCTCCTGATGGTTTCCTTTGGCTCTCCCTGTCCAGGTACTGTGGCAAGATCTTCCCACGCTCAGCCAACCTGACGAGGCATCTGCGGACACACACTGGGGAGCAGCCTTACAGGTGATGTTGTCCCCCATAAAAAACCCTCTCCCAAACACTCCTCACTCACCACTCTGGTATTTCCCCCCCCTCTATAAAGCTGTGCCAGCAGAATACCACAGGCCTGGAGCATTACACAGAGTGATTCATAGGGTTGTATATTATGTGTACCAGCCAAAAATAATCAGGCTTGGCAGCTCGAAGATAGACACTTAACTTATATTTAGATGTATGCTGGCAAATGAGGGCTCTGATTTGCAGTGTTGTTTCACACTCACGTTAACCATTCATCTCAAGGACAGCTGAAGGTGCTGAATGGCTCTGAAATTCGGGCTGGTTTGAAGGGCTTGCCAGGACCTTCACTGCTGGGGCTGCCTGGGCTTTTTGCTGTTTTTTTTTTCTTTTCTTAATGCACATCAGAGGTGACTGGAGTAGGGGATCAAAAAAAACAAAGGCAAGAAAAGAACATGTAGATTTACCTTAAAACTGAACTTTGGTAGTCTCTGAGCTTAAATCACGGAGTTTAAAAGGAGAGCAGGGAGGGAGGATTCACACAGAGTCTCACACATTTGTGACTGTTTAAGGTAAAAGGCTGAGCTATTTTTTGTTAACTGGGGACAAGGTGATGTGATTTTGATGATTCAGTCTGCACAAGGACTGCGTCCCAGCCCAGTGGCTTCTGTGGCTCCTGCCCAAGTCAGGGCTTTAAATCTGAATAAAACTCACAAGAAAATATATGTAATATGTGTGCCTAGGCATATAAATAACTATTTCTCATGGAAATCTTTCCCCCCAGCATTTTCTCCCAGCGAGTTACAAGCAGTTTTAAATAACTTGGGGGGAAAAATTGCCTTTTTTGTTAGAATGAAGTCCAGAAATGAGCAAACCTGAAGGAATGATGAATCGAGAGCTCGCTGCAAATCAAGCCTTGTGCTTGCCATGATGTGAGGGAGTGTTTTGCAGGTTGTCAAACAATGGTAACAATTCCATTTCATTTTGGGTAGCTGATATTGCAGCCTTTCATACACAGACATAAGTTCACAACAAAGCAAATGGAGCAGTTATTAAATAAAGAGAAACACAAATTTATGAGCAGCAAAAGGCCATGTGGTCAAATGCATCACATTTTTATGCTCAGTTTAATCTAAGAATTGACTCTCCCACATTGTAATCCCTGCTAGGCTGAGAATCACGTTTACTTTCCATCCAGCATTTTTAGTGTAGGCATTAAGAAAATTAAAAATACACCAAAACCACCCCCCAAAGCAGACATATATTTGGGATTATATCCCTGCTGTGATGTTTGGGGTTGTGTTATTTGATATGCCTGAACGGGCCCTGTGTGTTCCCTGTCCACTGCAACACTCACTCCTGATTATTCCGAGATCCTTAGTTCAGTTTTCTTCCAAAAAAGGAGACTTGCAACTTAACAAAGGTTAGGAAAATAAAGATTTATTTGATCTGGTCTTCTCCCAGCAAATAGCCTGTGTGGGTTTTTTAGAGGTCTGACTCCTGGACAATGTTGCATTCTAACAGCACTCCAGAGAGCCGGGGCTGCGTTTGCAGACGAGCTTTAATTATCATTGATTTGCTTTTCCTCTCAGAGAGCTGAGATTTGCAGCTTTGGCAGCCAGACTTGTTTTGAAAGCTTGGTTTTTAAGTGCTGACTTCAGGCAGGTAAAAGGAGGTTGCTGACCTCTCAGTGTTTCACTGTTGTCTCCTTTGCAACTTTGTTTTTGATTGTTTAATTATTTTTTTCACCCTATATAAAAATATTTTTATATACAATAATTTCAGTATTAATTCAAATATTAATTGCTATGTTCTTAAAGACAACAGGCTAGAAAATAAAGTGGTTTGGGTTTGATTTCTGATGGTCACTGATTAAGTTTTTTGGAGTTTGTTGGGGGGAGAACTATGAAGTCACTCAAATTTCTTCAGTGTCTAATTATGTATAAAGTAGTGATTATTAGCACATGAGCAATAGTGAGGTAGATTCTTTTTATAAAGAGAAAATAAAACATCTTTTCTGAAGAGTGAGAAATACCTGGTGATGCACTTCCTGAAAATCAAATTATTTGAAAACATTCAAAGCCCCTGTGCCCTAGAGTGAAATTCAGCATGTTTCTTTTCACTCCTTTTTTTTTTTTTTTTTTTTTTTTTTCACCAAACCTGAAATTCTGGACTGTGTATTTCAGAATTCAGAATAAAAAGGCCCCTGGAGCCTTTGTGTCCTATTATCTGCATTAAGCTGGAACTCACAGCCAACAGCTGACATCTACCATGTCATTTAAATTGCACATAGTTCAATAAATATTGAAAACATTTCTCATTTTTCTGGTTTTCAAAATGCAGCCTGAGCTCACCCCTGCTAAAAACGCGCTTGAAGCTGAGGAGTCACTCAGAGGGGGACCTGCTGTCCATGTGGTTTTTGGGTTTTTCCTGCAATTCTGCCTCTCCAGCTCACACCGATCAGTGCAAAACTCCGTGAGAGGGACTCGGGAAATCCTCCCACATCCCCAGGGTTTGCTCCCTGCTTTGTCCCGGGTTGTCCCGGGTACCCGAGCTCCTCCAGCTCCCAGGATTTCCGTCAGAGCTCCGCAGCTCCAGCCCTGGCTCCTTCCTTGCTGTCCCTCCCTCCCACTTCGGATGTTTTCATCCCTTTAGGCTGATAAGGGAAAAGATTTGTCGGGCTGTTTGCAAAGCAAACACCACAGCCTTTGAGTTTTATTCTTCCCCTTTCCCTGAATTTCAGCTGGTTCCTCTGCCTGGGCCATTTATTTAGATGAAAAGCAGCAGAGCTCCCAGCACCGACCCCTCTGGGACCACAAATAACGCTGGACATCTCCCTCATCCCTTCCCAGTGCCCCTCTGGTTCCTATTTTTTCTTTTAACAAGCTCTTTATCCCTCCCCATTCTCGACCCTGGATTCACATAGCTCATGGTCAGGGCGAGGACCTGTCACAGGGAACGTTTCAAAGGCTTCCTGAACATCTAAATAAATGGATTTGGAGGAGGCCAGGTCATTCCTGCCTTGAGTTGCCTTTAAATGTCTGGAGCTGTTCCTGGGGGGGGGTGGCAGGGACAGCCAGGCTGGGAACATGGATTATCCTGATGCCCACTGTGCCAGGTATCCCCTGTGCCAGGCACTGGGACACACAAAAAAAAGGGTTTTATAGGAGCTGGTGAGGGAGAGAAAACCCCTGGCATCATCAAGGATGAGAAGGGAGCTCCTGGTCTAAGCTGGACAAAACCACTCACGAAAATCCCATGGAATAGCAGGAATATTGGGATATTGGCAGGTTTGGATATTGCATCTTGCTGGAGTGCTGAACAGGAATCTGAGAGCAAATTCCTTGGTGCTGGAAATCCGTGTTTAACTCTCCGTACAGATTGTTCTTGATAAATCTCCGTGTGATTGTTCTTGCTGATGTTCAAATAACTTCTTGTTTTCTAGAGCTATTTGGGGTGTTTTGGGGGAAAAAAAAAAAAAAAAAAAGGAAAACTAAATACTTTAGGAGTCTGGAAATGCTGTGGTTTACAATTTTTGGTTAATCCTAATAAAGGCCCATTATTTTAAATATCTTTATTCTTGTTGGAGATTTAGCAGTAGGAAATTTGGAGGTGGACATGGAATCCATAAACATTCAGCGAGAGAGAGTGTTTCATAAATGTATCCCCGCTTTTTCCAAAAATAATATCGATTTCTTTTTAGAGACCGAATAAAAATCACAGCTGGAGCACATCTGGAAGTGGGGTGTGTGTGTCTCACAGCAGGGATCTTTTCCACTCGCTGTTGAACCTGTTGTGTCTGTAGAGAAGAATCCCATGTCCTCTGTGTCCAGGGACATCCAGCTCCATCCCTGAGTGAGGCAGGCATGGGGCGAGTCTGTGCACATCAGGAGCTGCTGATATTCCCAAAATCTCCATCTCCGTGTCCTGGAGTGCTGGGGAGGCTCTGGCACAGGCTGCCCCATCCCTGGGAGTGCCCAAGGCCACGCTGGACAGGGCTTGGAGCACCTTGGGACAGTGGAAGGTGGCCCTGCCCACAGCAAGGGTGGCACTGGAGGGGGTTTGGAGTCCCAAAACCATTCTGGAATTCCAGGATTCCCATGGAAGAGTAGCTCAGCTCCGTGGGGCAGATGTTGGCATGGATTTATTCTGGGATTACGAGGGCTCGGGAAGAGTTGGAATTTTGGGAGCGTCCAGGATTTGCGGAGCTCTGCAGCAGAGACAGGTTCTGCTGCTGGTGGGTTTTGGGAGCAGAGCCGTGGGGGAGCAGCCTTGCTGAGGTACAAGTGTTTAAAGGGAGATGGAACGAGGGATTCGGCGGATTCGGGCAGGATTGAGGCTTTCAGGAGTTTTAGACACAAACTCTCCACCGCAGCTCGGAGCTGCCACCTTCAGTCCATCAGCCTTCACACCACCACCCGGAGCAATTCCCATTTATTTGGAGGTCTCTCAACCCAAAAAGGGGGGTGATGGCTTTGAACAAGCCCCCAGACCCTCTGCCGTGGGTCCTGCAGAGACTGAGCTCAGAGAGGGAGCGTCTCTTCACTCCCCTGAACGTCCTGGCTTGGCTCCTTGAATTCCAGCTTTTCATCACAAACCAGATATTCACTCCTCGGAGTAAATCTTACTCTGTTTTGCTATAAGAATAGTTATAATTGCCTTTAAAGCCATGCTGGGATGTCCAGCACCACAAGGAATTTCACAAATAAAGCCAGAATTTTCTGTGTGTCCAGCTAACTGTCACGCAGGGATTTGCCAGTTAATAACTATTTTATACATTTCACCTCCCTTCTTCCTTTTTCTGTCTTCCTTGTCCTCCCTCCTCAGACATATTTCACCTGATTCCTCTCAAAAAAAAAAGTGGAAGGAATAAATCCACCTCTCATTCCTACATCCATGCATGGAAAAGTAATTATTTTGTTTCAAATTCTTATTTGTTTGGACGACTCACTTCCTAATTAATCCTAATCCTTTCTTTGTGCTCCTTGAGTAACAATAAAATCAGATTTGTCTGGGATGATTAATGCTTTCTGCTTCCTTCAGCTGAGTAAAGATTTATAGACCGACATTTCCTGGGGTTTTGATAGCCAGATTTTTCTCTTTTTTTTTTT